CTTTTACCACCTTTCCCCACCAGTGAGCACAGCCTTGGTCTGGAGGAGTTAGCACCTTAGTTCTCAGTTTTCTTTCCCAAACTGGAGAAAGCAGAGCAGACCTTCTCAGGCAGAAAGAAGTAATAAGGTCTGCTCAAGGAAGCAGCAGGGATATCTAGACTGAAAAATGTCTGAGACAGTTCTTTGGGAAATTAATACTTTTAAAGGAAACTGTTAGGGACTGAGGGTCTAGCACGGTGGTTAAGGTGCTTATCTAGAATGCGTGAAGCCTGGATTTGATACCTAACACTGCCCCCCCACACACAGATATACACAAAGACAGCTGTGAGTCAGTCACGGTAGCACATACCTGGAAGCCCAACTGCTGGGAAGGCTGATGCAGGAGGATTGCAAGTTTGAGGTCAGCCTGGGAAATAGCCAGACTTTATCTTAAAATAAAATAAAAGGATATAGGAAGCCAAGCACAGTGGCACACACCTTTAATCCTAGCAACTCAAAAGGCTGAGGCAGGAATGTCTCAAGTTCAAAGACAGCCTCAGCAACTTAGTGAGGCCCTAAGCAACTTATCAAGATCCTGTCTCAAAATAAAACATAAAAAGGGCTGGTTGTGGCTCAGTGGTACAGTGCTTGCCTAGCATGAGTGAGGCACTGGGTTCAATTCTCAGCTCCACATACAAATAAATAAAAATAAAGATCCATTGACAACTAAAAAAAAAAGGCTGGAGTATGCAGCAGTGATTAAGCAACCCTGGGTTCAATTCTTGGTACCAGAAAAAAAAAAAAAAAAAAAACGGCTAGGGATATAGCTCAGAGGGAGAGCACTTGTCTAGCACACACCAGGCCTGGAGTTCAATCCCCAGTACACACACACACACACACACACACACACAAAAAAAAAAAAGCAACTACATGTCAAGGTGATTGAACAGCCACATTCAGGCCCAAACCACGAGCATGCTCAGAAAAGTCCTGGAATGATCATTCCAAAGCTCAGAACATGACAACTAGCTAGTGAAAACTGCTCTGATACAAAGCAAATCTGTAAAAATGAGGAGAGGTGGCTATTCTTTCAAATACTCAATTATCAACAAAACCAACAACAGAAAAAAAAAATCACAAGGCATACAAACCTGAAAACACAGCCCATTCAAAGAAAGAAAGTGACACTAACCATCCCCAAAGAAACACAGGCATGAGACTTACTGGACAAAGACTTTAAAACAACTACCTTTTGTTGTTGTTGTTTTAAACTGGGGACTGAACATAGGGGAAGTTTACCACTGAGTCAGATCCTCAGCCAGTTTATTTTTATTTTGAGACAGGGTGAAGCTAAGTTACTGAGGTTGGCCTTGAACTTGCAATCCACCTGCCTCAGCCTCAAATTATTATTATAATTTTGGTTTGTAGTTCCACTTTTTATTTTCTACAGGATTTCAAAGGCAAATTCAAAAAAAATAATTATAAATCTATGTTAACAAATACATAATACAGTATATGAAGATGTCATTTGTGACATAGATAACATAAGGTGATATCTATGGAGCTGTAAAGGATTAATATTTGTATGCAGAAAAGTCAGTTGGTGTCAATTAAAATAGATTGGCTAGTGTGGTGGCTCATGCCTATAATGCCAGAAACTCAGGAGGCTGAGGTAGGAGTATCACAAGTTCAAGACCAGCCTTAGAAACTTAGTGAGGTCCTAAGCAACTTATTTAGAAAAGGTCTGAGGAAGTAGCTCAATGATAAAGTGTCCCATGGTAACCACACAGGAAATCTGTTTAGAATAAACCAAAAGGAAATGAGAAGGGAATCAAAACAGATCACTACTGAAAATCATGTAACACAAAGGAAGCTAGAGTAAAGGAGACAATGAGAGATAAAGAACAAACTTTAAGGGCTGGGGTTGTGGCTGAGGGAGAGCGCTCGCCTCATATGCGTGAGGCACTGGGTTCAATCCTTAACACCACATAAAAATAAAAAATAAAGATATTGTGTCCACCTATAACTAAAAAAAATATTTTAAAAAAACTATAAGACTTCATTGGTAGGACTTGCCTACAATGTATAGGGTCCTGGGTTGAAGGAAGGGAAGGAGGAAAGGAAGAAACAGTAAGATATACAAAAAACAAAATGGCATAACAACAAATCCCATCAACTATAACACACCAATAAAAAATGGTAAATGTTAAGTCCTTCCATATCAATAATAATTGAAACAAATGAAATAAAGTGTGCGATAAATAAAGTTATACATTGGAAGAACAGATTTTGAAAAACATGAACCAACACTATGTTGTACATATGACTCACTTTAGATTAAAAGTGAGGTTGAAAGTGAAAGGATGGGAAAAGATATTCCATGCAAATAGTAACCAAGAGAGAGCAGGGGTGCTTATACTAATATCAGATGCAATCCACTTTCCACCAAAAACTGTCATAAAAGACAAAGGAGGGGGCTGGGGATGTGGCACAGCAGTAGAGCACTCACCTCGCACATGGGAGGGCCTAGGTTTGATCCTCAGCACCACAAATCCTAATCTATAAGGATCTCAATTGTGTCACTTGCAAAATAACAACAGTACCTACCTAGTAAGATTCTTGTGAGGCTAAGCAACCATAGAGCTGAAAGTCATAATGAATTTGAGCTGAGCCACTGACACATTACTTGACTTCTATGTACCTCAGTATCCCCATTTATAAAACAGAAATAACAGTACCAACCACATAGCTTTGCTATGATAAATTACATGAGTGAATCTACATAACATTTTCAGAAAAGCAGTTGGCACCCTATGTAATTTCAGCTATTATTATTATTTATTTTAGTTGTTGTTATTTGTAATCAGAAAACACTACCAAACTGGGCCACTTATACTATGCTTCCTTCCCCCATGGGCATTGGGCTTTGGACACATTACTTGTTTTAACTAATGGGATGTGAAGTTCATCACATTTCAGCAGAAACTGTAAACTCAATTTGTATTCAGGCTCTTATTCCTGTGCCTTCTGCCACAAGAAGGGCATGACTAAATCAGAGCACCCTCAGTCCAGGAATGGGAAGACCCATGGAACAGACCTGAACCCACCCTGCAGTGGAACAGTCTATTAAAAAAGAAATTGCAGAAAGCCACTCCTTTGGACTAAGCTCCTGCACCAGACCACAAAGACCAGACTAAAAGTCAAAATGGAGTCATTTATAATAAAGTTCCAGTCACCAAACCCAAACTGAGTTGTTATCTGAACTTCGGAGAAAGTATTATTTCCCAAACAGGCCAGCTTCAATGAACATGATAAGATACTTAAACTAAACTGCTATGATTTTGTCCTTTGACAAGTCACAGCAGCTGACCCAAAGTCACCAACCCATAATGTGAGCAAGAAATTGAGATTTGCTGTTGTGGGCTACCGATATGTTTAGATTGTTATAAAGCATGACTGAAAAAAAAGATGATTCAAATAAAACCCATCACAAATAACTTATCTCTTACCATCAAACTTATTCCTGGTCCTATAAGCCTTCTTTGTACTAATAGCACCATCATTTACCTATATACCCAGGCCCCATTAGAAACTCCACTGTCATCAATGATTCCTCACTCACTTCTTCCCATTCTACTCCATCATTAATTCTAAAATCTGCTCCTCAGGTATACATACCCTTCCTCCTACTTAGAACCATAGCTCTGACCCGCCACCATCATCTCAAGACTCAACTCTTAACTGTCACCTAACTTTAGGTACCAATCCATCCTCCACATTGCCACCACACTGATGATTCCACTGAATCCATAGGATCACATCACTTCTCTACTTAAATACTCTAGTGGATAGCCTGCAAAATGAAATCTAAATGTGGCATTCTAAATCTAAATACGGCAGGGACCTCCTTTGTCTTCCAGTCCTCACAACCATTATATATATTTTTTTGAGATGTAGATCTTACTATGTTGCCCAGGCTGGTCTCAAATGATCCTCCCACGTCAACCTTCTGAATGCTGGGACTACAGGCACGTGTCACTACACCCAGTTTAGACACTTTAATAACCTAAGTTTAATACCTATATTCTTGAAACTCTCTTGGTATAGTCTGAACTCCTTTCTCCATTCTGAATTTGGCTAGCTCTTTTACAACAAAGATCCATCTCACCCATTCCTTCCTATTATACCTAGCTTTTAAAAAAAAATTTAGTTGTAGATGTACACAATACCTTTATTTTATTTATTTTTAGGTGGTGTTAGGGATCCAACCCAGCGCCTCACATGTGGTAGGCACCCGCTCTACGGTTGAGTTAGAAGCCCAGCCCCTGTGACTACTTTTTTAAGCTTTAGAGACCACTTATCACACTGAGGAGCTTTCTTGTCCATTCTTCCCCCAGAATTAAGTTCCATTTATTTAGACCAAATACCTAAAATAATGCCTAGACCACAGTAATCACTTAATGTTTCTGATTAAACATTCTACCTAGACAAATAATTTTGTTATTTGCACAATTTACATATTATTCGTTTAAGCTTAGAAATCGTAGACAGACGATTTTTCAGCCCTAATATTTCACAGGCTGTGAGTTGTTTCTTTGACCTTCTGAAATCTCCCAATTCCAAGAAAAGCCATTCCAAAGACAATGTGAGAGATGTATTTTCTATTAATATAATTATTAAAATCTGGTAAGCATAGTTCAGCGCTAGCTGTGCTAGGCCGGTGGCTCCCAACCTAGCTGCCATTTTTCTCCTAACGACTTCACAACAATGCAAACTCTAGGACCTCACCCTAGAAAACTCAGAAGGTAGGGATTAGGCAGCTGCATTTTCAACAAACTCCCCAAGTAACAATGCTACGACGAGTTTCCTTCTTCAAAACTTCACAGCACCCTAGTGCGTCCCCTCATCACTAGAGCTCTAGAGAAAAGAAGAGCAGCTGTTAAAGTATGCCCAACCTCCACTCGCTGCCTAGTCCCGTGGGTCCGGCACTGACAGGCCACTAGGACACTCACACAGCCTACCTGGTAGATGGCAGAGCCGGAGTCCAGCTGGGTGCCCAACGCCGCCACAGAGTCCCCGTGATAGGCGCGCAGCCCCGGGGCAGCGGCGAGGAAGCAGGGCCGCAGAACTGACCTCAGGTGGGCCCACATAGCTGCGGTGTACGTAGCAAGGGCAGCCCGCGCCCGTCGGGAGCAGGTTCTTTCCCCGGGTTTGCGGCTAAGGTTCGACCAGCGTCCTTTAGGCGCCAGCGGCAGACCCTCAGGTTCCCAGGCAAGCCCCCGCACGTGCCTGCCTATGCCAACCCCCATTGGCCGGTGCCGCGCACCACGCCTCCAAATTCAGCCAATAAGGAACAAGAGCGCAGCCCCGCGAGGTTCTGTCCCATCGCGATCCCAGAAGCGCTGGCGCTGGGACGAGGCGTGTCCAGCCTTGCTGAGCTGAGAGAACCGCGGTTGGGTTTGTATCGTTGGGGTGTTCGTAAAACAACCCACACAGCGCGAAAACTACCGTAGTGCAGCACTGGGGAATCTCATCTGATCTAGTCCTTTCGCTGGAGATCTTAAACACTTTTCTGGTTATTTTCACTACGTGATAGATTGTGGATCTCAGTGTTGGGATCTTTAGATAAAGAACCCTACACATATTCATAAAAATTTAAAACACTCTACAAAATGCCTTGAAACTTTTTAATTCAAATGTGTATTGAACATTTACTGCCCACTACTCGATTGGTTGCTTAGGCGACTGAATAAAGGTAAAAATGTGAGGAACCTAGGAAAAAGCGGGCAGAGAGAGAGAGGGTGTGGCTACCAGCTAGAAATAAACCTGGTTCCGGACTTCAAGGTGCTTGGAAAAAAAAAAAAAACGAAAAGCGGAGAGGGTGGGGAATGATATTGGCCAAATTATATTGTTATATTTTGTGCATGTACAATGTATAAAGCTAATCCTATCATTAGGTACAACTATAATGCACCAATAAAAAGTGTGGGAATTAAATTAAAAATAATTTTTTAAATAGAGAACTTCAGACGGAGCAGAGTACATCTCTCTCAGAACTTGATCTTCCGCTCAACAACAACAAACACAAATCAAATGATAATATTAGCTGTGGTACCACCACAAATAATATGCTCATAACGTATTAATGACAAAAACAGTTTATAAAATGATTGCTTTTAAAAAGTAAAAATAAAATAAAAATTTTTAAATGCAACAAAATTGACCACCTAAGTGTCAGATTTGTAGGACAGACATTAAAGGAACAGAATGCCATGAGGAAAGTGAGGTAGCTGAACAAAGCCTTGCTGAGGCTCCCCAACACCCTCTACAGTACTGGGGATTGAAACCAGGGGCCTCTACCATTGAGCTATATCCCCAGCCTTTTTTATTTTTTATTTTGATCCAAAGTCTCACTAACATGCCCAGGCTGGCCTAAACCTTGTAATCCTACTTGAGCCTTCTGAGCCACTGGTATTACAGGCTTGAGACACCACTGCAACTAGCTTTGCAGTAGCTTTGAATATGAACAGAGCCCCAAACTTGGCTAGGCTTGGTGCAAATGGAGAACAGCCAGCAGCATGTGGGGCAAGCACAAGAGCAGGAGCTCAACTGGAAAGTTCTGATTTACAATGTGTGTGCTGCCAGTGTTCAATAGAAAAATGGCTCTAAAAACTGACTCTTCAAATGCATTAAGGTAACAGGAGAGAGACTGTGTTTGACATTCAAATTGTCACACTTTTTCTCTAAATAGTTCTTCAATAATGCAAACATACTTAAAAAAAAAACCACCTTCTGACCACAGAAAAGACAGGATAGAATATAATTCCTTACTTTCTTTAAAAATCTTCCCATCGTGTTTATTTATTGTAAGTCAATGTTGTTGTTGTTCTTGGTGGTGGTGGTGGTGGTGTTTTGATACCAAGGATTGAACCCAGTGGCACTTAACCACTGAGCCACATCCCCAGTCCTTTTTACTCTATATTTGTTTGTTTGAGTCAGGGTCTCACGTTGCTGAGGCTACCTTTGAACTTGCTATCCTCCTGCCTCAGCCTTTTGAGCCATGGAATTACAGTGTGCACCACTGAACGTGGCTCTTGTAACTTTTATCACATGAAGCTCATTGGAAATTGTATAATGCTCCCAGAATAGGGAAGTAGAAAAATGCAAAAGGTCAAGTGACCCCAAAATTACCTAGCATTTGTTAGTGTCTGGTATCTACATTCGCTACTGAGATGATACTCAGAGGTTAGAGTTATGACTTAGCCACCTGATGGTTTTTTTTTAAAGAAATTTTATGTTGGAAATAAAAGAATTGAATTTTCGCCCCCAGGGCCCATCTCTATAGCCTGGGGTACCTCCTTTCCCCTCTCCCCTCAGCCCCACTCCCATGCATTGCTTATTCCCATGGGTGGCCCTCCTCTACATGCTTTCTCTCTGCCCAGGGCAGCTTTCCACCACCACACCTTCCTATTCTAACTACTACACATGGTGGGTTCATACACATCCTTCAAAACATGGCTTAAGAGTCCCCTCTCCCTCAAAGTCCTTCCTGACCTGCCCTTTTTACTTCTTTCAATCTCAAGTAGACCTCTATTGTGGCTCAGGTCACACTGTGTGGTTAGGGCTCATTTAGTTTACCCAACTACAGATCTTGTCAGAGTCACCTTCTCCTTTGTCCCATGCCCAGCCAAGTGCATGACAGATGCTAAATTTGTTGAATGAACACGTGAAAAATAACTTCCTTTAAATAACTCTCTCTCAGGACACCTGAGAGAGAGTTATTTAAAGGAAGGCAGGAAGGTGGAAAGTCAAGGTGGGCTGCTGGACTTCTACAGGCTCCCCTCTACCATCAGGTGTCCTGTTTCCCCTTTCTGACCTTACCTAGGATATCCCATAGCATCACTTTGGCATAACTCTACTGAATTCAAGGGGAAGGGACATAGATTCTATGTCTCCATGGGAGGAGTGTCAAGGTCACTTACAGACTATTGGGAGATAGTATGTGGTTGTTTATACCAGATGAGTGCATCCATGTTTTACATTTAGCCCAATCCAGTTTTATATTTTGTTTACCTTGTTCTAACTCCTTTAATCGATTTCCATATCCCATAACTGCTGCCCATATAAATTGGCAAGCAACTTTCTCTTTCTAGGCCATGTTTAGTACTTTTTGGTTTATGTTGGAATTAACTCCTCTTAAGATCCAGAGGCAAGGGGCTGGGGTTGTGACTCAGAGGTAGATCACTTGCCTGCCATGCGTGAGGTCCTGGGTTCAATCCTCAGCACCACATAAAAATAAAATAAAGATATTGTGTCCACATATAACTAAAAATAAATAAATAAATATTTTTTAAAAAGATCCAGAGGCAAAGAGATGTGATAGGGCCCCCAGGAGAATTGGAATCAGCTCATAAGGCAAATACCTCAGATGAAGTAACTGACTTTACATAGAGGAAGGCTATTTGAGAAGAGGGTGTGGGTATGAGGCTGAGTTGCTTCCACTCCTGGGAAAATCTTAAGGGGTTCTGGGCATTTGAAAATCTTGGTCTAAACCACATCTACCCAAATGTTTCCATGCAATTTTCCCAGATTTCCATTCCTTCCTATATATGGTCCCTTTGGCTGGAGTGGGGGGCGCGCAGGGGTAAGGGTGGGGGAGGAGATCAGGGAGAGCACATCCCCAGTCCTTTTTATTTTTTATTTCAAGACAGAGTCTCTCTAAATTGATGAGTACTTGTACTTGGAATCCTCCCGCCTCAGTTTCCCAAACTGATGGGATTACAGGTGTGTGTGTGTCACCATAGCTGACATGTATATAGGGTCTTTATCATCTATATTGTGCCTTTAGTTGGCACCTCGACTCTGTATCCATTCTGTCATACCCTGGCCTTATCCTAAGCCAAAGTGCCCTGGCATCTATAGAAGACAATACACTCAAAGCTGTGATGGAGGCTTTCTGAGGTTTCACCCCTATCATAGAAATCTACTCAAGAGAAAAGTAAACATGCATACAAAAAGTTGTGCAAAAATATTGTTAGTAACCTTATTTGTAATATACAAAAACTCTAAACAACCCAAATGACCATTAACAGGTCAATGGATGAACAGACTATGATTGATGTACTCCTCTTGATGACATTCAGATGCCAGGGCCATTCTCTTGGACTTCTTGTTCTCCAGACCTGTGAGCTAAATAAACCTCTCTATTTTCTTTTTCAGTACTGGGGATAGAACCCAGGACTTTCTGCATGCTAGGCACACACTCTACCACTGAGCTTCTCCCCAGCCCTCTATTCTTTATGAATTTAAAATACATAAGATAAATACTGCCTTCGGGAAAAATAATTTATGTAAAAGACCACCTCAAAAGATTAGTCAACAAGGGCTTGGGATGTAACTCAGTGGTAAAGTACTTGCTTACCATGCATGAAGCCCTGGGTTCAATCCCCAGCATGACAAAATGAATTTTTTAAAAGGTTACACAAGACCACATCAAATTTAACAATTAACTGGAAGGAACCACAGAACTCAAAAAAGCTGACAGTTACAGATTAAAATAAATAATTTTAAAATTGTTAGCCCAAGGAACCAGGTATTCAAAAACACTTTTAGGCAGGATATTCCAAGGGCTTGAACGTCCCAAGCCTATTAATTAAACCTGTATTGCACAGATTGCACTGTAAGATTCCATTTGTACTCTATTCTCAAATGAAAAATTGTAATGATGGAGAACAAGTCGTACAGGTGTTAGGGTTGAAGGAGGGAATGCCCAGAAGAACAGCATAAGGAAGATTTGGGGGGGGGGGTGATGGAACAGTTATGTACCCTGATTATAGTGAAGTTATGAATCTACCACATATGAGATAAAAGATAAAATTTCATAGAATTGTATATACACACAAAGTACCTGTAAAAATGACAGTCTGAATAAGATCTAATATGTGATGTACATCCCAGGCAATGTGCTTAAGAGACTACAAAAACAGAAATAAATCTCATCCTTTTATACAGCCATGCAGATGTGCTCCATATCATACATGTTTACAAGATAAAAACTAGTCCTCAAGTAAGGGGACTTGGCAGCACCATCACACAGAGTTCATACTAAATTCACCACCAAGTGAAATGGGGTAGTTACTTGTGTTTGGTAATTGCCTTGATCCAAAGGAAAATTAAATTCATCATCTTAATGATAATTGTACTTGGAATCCTCCCGCATATTT